TTACCTACTCCTAAAAAGATTGTAAACCAAAGGTAAAAACTTAAAAAAATGCCAGCTATACCGTAGAAACACATTACAGCCCCTTGTGGGGTAAAAATATATATATATATATATTTTTTAATTATTATTGAAAGAAAGGCCCTTATACCAGACCTCTATCCCCGTGGTGGTAAGAGAACCACCGGGATTGAGGCTTTGCCTATCGGGCCGCTCCATCTATTGGTGGGGAGCATCACCTGCTGGAAACCGGGTCCAGCGTCCCTTAAATTCATCTTTACAGAATTGTAGATCATTGAATGTTCTCTGCAGAAAAGAGAAAAAATATATTTCTTAGGTAACTACATATACCTACAATTAAAAAACTGAAAGCGCCCAAAAAAATAGAAAAAGCCCAAAAGTAGTTTATGAATTTCCGCGAACCTATTATAGGCTCTAATCTGAAAACTTGAGACTTGCAAGGTTGAATTTTCACAAAAAGAATCCTCCATAGATGAACTGATCTATTTCTATTACCTTTCTCTTTATATTTTCGAAATTATCATACAAAAATCAGTATATGCAATCCTATTTATTTTCATTTATTATTTATGTTCATTTATTATATATACAATTTCTTATATGTATATAATTTCTTAAAACACCTCCAAGGGTTGTAGTGGTTACGAGACTTCGTTCCTGTGGCTGAGGGTGCTGGTTTGAGGCCGTCTGTGCACGACGGGGCCTGATGCCCTAAAGCACATTGATCCGTAACACACACTCAAATTGACTTTGGATACATTTTTGGATATTCGCGATAGCAATTCGTGCATGTATGTTTTGCTATCCCCCTTCTAACGAGCAACATTCGTGCGCCAAGCAGGTATACCTTTGGCTAACCGATGGAACGAGCATGTTAGAACCGCCATTGATAGACCAACCTTCAAAGTCCATAAATGGCTGGGTAAGAGAGGGCCCCACAGGTATGCTGCTATTACTTTATGTTTTTTGTCAAAAAGATGACTTAAACCGCAAGTAGACGGCCCCAGCCTTGCAGAAAGTTTTTGTTGCCACAAGCAAAACTCAGAGGGGCCGCGCGGTGTGGGGCGTCGTTGAAAAAAAAAATTGGCGGCCTCCGAAGTGGTGTGGGTTTCGTGCTGTGTGGTGTACTGGTGCTTTAAAAATTAAAATGTGTGTGGAGACAAAAATCATTGATGACTTAAAAATTAAAACAGAAACCCGGGACTGAACTTGAGAAAACAGAAACCCGGGAGAAAAAGGAACTTCTACACCCGTGGAATGGATGCGTCTGTGCTTCACATCTGAGTTCTGAACTGACAAGACAGCTACCTTCTTCCCCTTTTTTTTTTTTTCCTTTTTTTTTTTTTTTTKTTAATCCCCCGGGAATTTCACTCAACCTAACCTACGGTACCTACCCGAATGTGCCTATCGATCTGGTTAACAGGGACCCCCACTTTTCGGCCCTGGTTACACCCCCCAGCACTGAAAAGTGCATTTGGGGATTTTTTTTTTTCAGCTTTTTTTTTTTTTTTTTGCCCTTTTTTTTTTGGGTCAGTAGGGCTTTGTTAACCGCTTCTCCAATGGAGATGCCTAGGACACACACACTCAGCGAGAGCCCGTATCTTATGGTTATGCAGGAGGTCAGCTACGGATTTCGCCTTTTTTTTTTTTAAACACGCCCCCGCCAGTGTTAGTGGTGCAGATTTCGCCTTTAGTCCAAACGGTCCATAGCTTTTTCTGCATCAGATTGGAGAGTTCTGGAGATTGTAACTTTTTGCTGATGCAGTCACAGACCTATGATCTCACAATACTTTTTTGTGCCCACAGTCGCACTTAATGGAATTTTGACAACAAATGTTTGTCGTCTTGTATTAAAATTTAAAACCCATTTTCTTTCCAAGTGAAGTAGATATCAGACCACGAATGATCTGCCTACCTCTTTTCCTATTTAATATTTACACATTTTAGGCCTTTTAGCATTTTAATCGACTCCTTAGTACTTTGATTATTTAACATAAACCATCTTTTTCCAGGGTGCTCTCAGGAGTGTAATCATTTCTGATTTCCTCCTATCAGACTCAGACTCGGTTTTTACGAGACAGGTATGCTCTCACTCCCCCCACCCCACCTTTCTCAAAACATTTCCTTCATCTCTCTCAACAAAACAGGCTACCTTCGTCATTTCTCAGTTTTGAGTTCCCGTACCCATACACCAGTCTGACCAGGCGCCATGGGGGGTTATCCATCATCTTCTGCCTCCCACGCTGGAAAATTTTACGGGCCCGCTTTGCTCTTTGGCTTGTTTCCAAATGGTCATCAGGCTACCTTCTTCCCCCGAATACAACGTACGGTCATTATAGCTGTGTATCTATAGACTGAAAGATGCCTCAAATACAGCTATAATGACCGTATGTTGCATTCGTGATGCTCCCCACCAATAGATGGAGCCTCTCCCCGGGTGCTAGTGGTGTCTGATCCTGTCAGCACCACTAGCACTGCAGGGGGGGCGTCTTAAAAAAAAATAATAATAATAATTAAAAAAAAACATTATAAATATATCATGTCCCAAATGAAGGCAAATATTGATGAAATTAATAAGAATTGTCAGAGTACTTTGAGTGTGCTTTCGAGGATCGGGATCCCATAACCCTAGACCACGCAAGATCTCCCCTTCACGACTTACAAGTACATGACCTGCTATGCTAGCCGGCTTGACGGAAAGATACCCCAAATACAGCCATAATGACCGTACTTTGTATTCCGGTGAATACAGCTATAATGACCGTACGTTGTATTCGGGTGAATACAGTTATAATGACCGTATTCCGGTGAATACAGCTATAATGACCGTACCTTGTATTCGGGTGAATAATGTAGGCTTGGCAGTAGAGTACGTGTCAATGTCCTGAACCTACCGCTTCAATCTTTTTTTTTTTTTTTTGGTGAGATTAAAAAAAGGCATGGAGATGGCGAACGAGAAGATAAAAATAGATTCCCTCGTTGGAGGCTTGAGCACGGATGTGGCTGCTACGGGGTTCCCCGTAATACTATAATGACAATAAAAAAGGCCTGAAAGGCCGTCATGTCCATATTTGACAGGTAATTGAATTGGTTGGGCTTAAAGAATTAGCCTTAAAAAAAAAAAAAGAAAAAAAAAAAAGATTAAAATAGATGGCCTGGATGTCGTGATCCGAACATAGGACATAAGAAGAAATGTTTTCAAAAATTCCTGGTGATTAGACAAGCTATCCACTGGATTTTCGCCGAATTGAGCCACAAAGGTAAATGCTGGGTTTAGGGTAAAAAGAAGGGGTAAAGGAGTAGTTTTGGGGACAGCTGAAGGTGAAGGTGGATGGAAATCTGTTCGTCTTTTTTGTGAGTTGGAAAATTTCGTGGATTTCATTTTGAAAAAGGTTTTTTTTTTTTTTTGTCAAATCAACGGTAGAGTTATCCTACGCAGATCAACGGAACTGAGCAGAAAGAACAGACAAAGCAACGGGACTGAGCAGAAAGAACAGACAAAAACACTCGTGGACATCAAAACCTGCTATCACAATGATTCACAAAGAACTAAGAGACTCGGAAGCATGGACTTGAGGATGCGCCCCCTACGCCAGTTTTTGTCCGTTCTTTTTTCCGCCCTCTGTCTCGTTCTTCCTCCCCCCAATTTTTCTGCCCTTGATCTTGTTTTTTCTCCCCCCATTTTTTCCGCCCTCGGTCTTGTTCACCCTCCCCCCCTCCCTCCACCCCCAACTAAGAGACTCGGAAGCATGGACTTGAGGACGCGCCCCCTACGCCAGTTTTTGTCCGTTCTTTTTTCCGCCCTCTGTCTGGTTCTTCCTCCCCCCAATTTTTCTGCCCTTGATCTTGTTTTTTCTCCCCCCATTTTTTCCGCCCTCGGTCTTGTTCCCCCTCCCCCGGTCCCTCCACCCCCTTCCCCCCTGCCTCCCCCCCCCCCCCCCCCCCCCCCCCCCCCCCCCCCCCCCCAAAAAAAAGAAGCCAATATTATTTGCATCAGGCCCAAGCACCCAAGGCAATGCATTACAAACAGGATGGTTCTAGGAAGCCCATGTACCCCAGCCTATCACCGCAGGTGGGGTCGCACCATACCCCCGTATAGTTTATGGATCCGTACATCTGGGCCAAAGACCTCCTCCATGCAAGCACAGACTCGAAACGGTGACCTTGATGTCAAGAGCCAAGTCTCTTAACCACTACAAGTGGAATCATGATATCCACCCCACCCCTGCAAGGCCGTAGTGTCCAACTCAACAACGCACACCACACTCAACACCTCACGGACAACGCAAGTCTCGCACACTTCGTTCCAATCAGCACGTATGCTCCACTGGTACTTCACCCGGTCAGTAATGTAATGCGGGTCCCTTAACTGTGCACCAGTTCCCGGGAACATTGCACAGCTTACGATTCTTTTTTTTTTTTTTTTTTTTTTTTTTCTGGGACAAATGCACAGCTTACGATTCAATTCAATTCAATTCAATACTTCTTCTGCTTCTTTGGTTTTCTTTTGATTTTGAGGGGGAAGGGGGGGAGGGACCCTTTTTGTAAATAAAAGCGCAATGCTGTGACCGACTGCTAATCTCTTCTTCACAGGTTGGATCGTTTCTTGGACCTCATGCATGTTCCCTGTCTCGCAAGGCACGGGGGCCCTCTCACTCATGTACCTTCTCCTTGAGATATGCTGCTTCGCTCACCGCGACTTCCAGTTGCTCCCGAGCCTTCTTGGCTCTTTCTTCTGCAGCTTTCGCACGTGCCTGTATGTTCCAAGAGAGAAAGAAAGACAGAAAGAAAGAAAGAGAGAAAGAGAGAAAGCGAGAGATTTCGCCCGCAAACTTAGGGTTTCGTATACCAAGAGAGATTCTAGGGGTTAGGGGTGGGGAGGAAGAGGAAGGTGAAGGTGACCCTACATCAAATTGAAGTGGGACCAGAGTGCAGCAAATCGTGGACCTGGATTATCAAATTTGGCCTTGGGTCAAAACTGGAGAATCCACCCCAATGCAAATCTGCAATTTGAATTCCCCGGACAGTGGAATGCATATTTTAAAAATTGAACACATTTTGAATCATGCACGGAAGAGAGCGGACAAGCAGACAACACCCGACTTTTCCCTTGTTCAAATTTCTTTCTTTTTAAATTATCTCCTTTGCTTGCTTAATTCAATCTTAGGTAGTTGCTGTTAGGTTTGGCCTGACTTCACACGTGGCAGTTCATCACGAGCGCTGGGCGCGGCGCTACCAGGAGCGCTGCGCCCCGCCCTGGGATGGGACAGCGCAGAGGTGGGCTATGGTGAAGGCGCGTGGCGGTGACGGTCGCCATCTCTTCTCTCAACCAGGCGCTTTGCGCATGCACAGGTGACTGGAGGCGCTTGTCCACACCACGTCACAGGCTGATGTGGCGGATGGACTGACTCCCATTGGCTTTTTTCTTCTAGGAGTTCCACGTTTCACTCCATTGCTGCTGCGGTTTTGCACGTGGCATATGGCCTGGGAGGCGTTGGCTATGTCAACGCCGGTGGAGTACAGTGGAGTCAGCCCTTGGTAAACTGAAGTGCGAGTGCAGTGGTGACTGCCATCATGAGGAAGTGGGTGCGTCAGCATAATCAGGGCGCTGCTCGGCATCAGCAACGGGGCGCTGATCATCACCAGCACGATCATCAACAGGGCACAGTTTGACACCATCATCACAGTCAGGGTTCGTCATCATCATTAGGGTGCTGTTCGTCGTCATCATCATCATCACCATCATCATCAACAGGGCGTGGTTCGACATCATCATCACGGTAATGGTTCGTCATCAGCATCAGGTGCCATCACTATCATCATCATCAGGGTGCCGCTCGCCATCAACATCAAGGCATGGGTGGAGTCATTATCCACGCTGCTCATCATGATGATCATCATCATCATTGTGTCTTCATAGGGCGCCGCTGGGGTTGCTCGTTATCATCATCATCATTGTCATTACGCCAGTGTCATTACCATCATCAATAGTTCACCATCATAAGGCGCTGTTGGCGAAGCTCGTCATCATAGGGCGCTGCTCACCATCATCATCACTAGGCCATCATCCAAGGTGCTCGTCATTTAGCACCATCATCATCCTTTTGTCATCACAGGGCGCGGTGCATCATCATCATCATCATCAGCAGCAGCAGCAGCAATCTGTAATCATAGGGCGCTGTTGGTGCTGTTCTTCAGTATGATCAGCAACATCATTCTGTCTTCATTTTCATCATTACTATCATCATCATCATTTTGTTATCATTAGATGTTGCCTTCCAAGGCCTTGTTTGCCTTTCACACCAGCAGGTGAGTTGGTTGTCATCATCATCTTCATCATCATCATTTTCAGGATGCTGTTCATCGTCATCAGCAAATCCAACAAAAGAAAACTCTCATCTACCTTTCTTCATCATATCTTAGGAATTTGAGTTTCTAAAACTCTTGAGGCTCGTTTTTCTTTTCTCCACTATTAATTTCTGGTTCCCCCTCGGGCGCATTAATGAATTATTTTTGTGTGGGTGGGGGGTTGGGGTTTTAAGGAGGGGAGCTCTACTCCGCAAGGGCTTCACAAGGTGGGGGGTGAAATGCCCTGGAGGGAGTAGGGGCAGATTTTTGGGGGTTGCCCTATTCTGGGGCTGGGAGAGATGTATGGGCTGGCATCATATCCCAGCGGAGGCAGATAGGGGTGAGGATCGTGAGGGGGTGGCTGAGGCATACTTTGGGTGGAACTGGATGCCTTAGTGGAAGTAGGGGGAGGAAGCAGGTATATCCCAAGTTGGGGCCGATAAGGAGAGTTTGTGATCAGGGCAGTCCTTTTCGGTGGAGGCAGCGGAGGGATAGGGGGAGGTGTAGGGGAGGGGGGGAAATAATCTACAGCAACGTTTGAAATTCTGGTTCTCCTCTGTAGTGTAAACAAATTACTTCTGGTGAGGGGGTGGGTTGGGGGAGAGCTCTAGTCTGCAGGGGCTTCACAAGGAGGGAGGTGATTGCCCTGAAGGGAGACGGGGCAGATTTTAGGGGATGCTCTATTCTGGGGCTGGGGGAGATGTATGGGTCGACATCATATCCCAGCGGAGGCAGATAAGGGCAAGGGGTTGGCAGAGGCATACTTTGGGTGGGAGCTGGATGCCTTTGTGGGAGTAGGGGGGGGGAATGGGTTTGTCCCAAGTTGGGGCCGATGAGGAGTGCTCGTGATCAGGGGCGGTCCTTTTCGGTGGAGGCAGCGGTGGGGCAGGGGAATGAGGGGAAAGGGGGGAATTTCTATATCCTTTTCTTGACTTTGGTTGGTACCTTTTCTGATTCTTCCTGGAATATTCAAAACAAGCACCCTTGTTATTTCTTGGTAGTTTGAAGAATCTCTCAGGACTCTGAGGGACTGTTGGTGGTTTATACGAAGCTGCACTGGAATTAGACTGTTATATTCAGGATCCGTGGCTGTTCCATGCCAGAACGACGCTGGCCGGAGCCGGGGTGATGCCCTGTAACTTGCCGAAGGTGAGGGCATGAGGCCTTGTAGAGAGATCTGGGGATGCTATGCGGGGGCATCCTAAGGGACAGCTGGGGGTTGCTGACACACGACGACACTGGCCGGAGCTGGAGTCAGTCGCGTTGCTCTGTAACCTAGCGGATAGGGGGCGTGAGGCGTGGATGAGTTTGTCGGAGAATAAGTCAGTTTTGGTGAGCTTTGTTATGATCTGCTGGAATTCCCTTAGATACTTGAGTGTTCGGAGAATTGCGGGCGGATTTCAGGAGGTGTTTAGTGATCGTAAAAAAGGATTCGTAGTTTTTCTCATCATCTATATTCGTAGTTTTCTCATCATCTATCCTGATTTTCAGCAGTTTGTTTATGATCCTGGAGGATACTCTCAAGCCGAAACCGGGTAATGGCCCCGGTACTTTAATTTGTTCATAAATCTTTTCTACATGTCTTCATATGGGACGCTGGGCCCGATTCCCAGCACGTGCTTTTCCCCACGAATAGATTGGAGCATTTGTCCCAAAAAAAAAAAAAAGGTTTTGCCAGTTTTAATCCTCTGTTATGGGGAAAGGGAGGGGGGGGGGGGCCACGTATGAAAACCTTTAGGGCGATTGAAAACATGACGAGGGGGGCGTCACCAAACTACTCGTGAGATGTCTAGAAATATATTGATGTGTACTATGTGTAAATACTAAATACATTGAAAAAGGGAAAGCAAGAGTCTGAAAGACTAAAAGCATAAATGGGCAACGTACGCTCATCAGAGAGAAGGTGAGGGGAAAAAAGCATTCGCCTGTTCTTTTGTCTTTCTCACCTTTGGCAAGTGGTAGACTGAGAAGGCCTAAAATCCTTCCCAAATCTTTGCGCCTTTCACACGTTGGATGTGGAGATGCTCATACCTCCCCATGACGGTGTTTTTTTTTTTTTTTTTTTTTTTTTTTTTTTTTTTTTTTTTAAATGGGCTCTGGCTGGTCGGTAAGTTTTATACTAACTTTATATAGTGCTCTTCTTCTTTTCGTTCTTCAAGTTTTTTCAAATGGATGTCCTGATGTTATGGCCACTGAAGATCATCCCATTGTGAATCAGATCCACAAACATTCTCTCAGCCACTCATCATATCAACCCAATGATGGAGACACCGAAGATGATATCTCCTCATTTGGCAATATAGCCAAGGCATGAAGAAGAAGAAGAACAACTAAAAGGAAGAAGGACAATGATGACGACGACGACGACGACAACGACGATGACGGTGATGGTGAAGAAGAAGAAGAAGAAGAAGAAGAAGAAGAAGATGACGACGACGACGGCGGCGACGACGACGGCGGCGACGACGACGACGACGACGACGACAATGAAGAAGAAGAAGAAGAAGACGAAGAAGAAGAAGAAGAAGAAGAAGAAGATAAGAGAAGAAAGAAGAAGAGGAGGAAGAAGAAGAAGAGGAAGAAGAGGAAGAGGAAGATGGAGGAGAAATGATTGGTAAGGGGAGTGTTTGTTCGCGCTACCGTTTCGTTATCCAACCTGGTCGACCAATCTTGCGACGCGGTTTTGAACTCTTGCTGCAATTCCTCCTCTCTCTCCTTCATTCTCTGAAGATGATGCCACAATTAAAAGAAGGAGAACAAAATAAAAGAAGGGGTCAAAAGTGACAAAAACACACACCGCGATCTGTTGTCAGCAGGTCATAAGTAGCATGCGCCATTTCGAAACCTCTATACCCTGTTTCATCTAATATATTTCATCTAATATATAACGACATATTCAAAGCCGGACATTGCATGGTGTATATGACCGTTATTGTGGTGAGATACAGTTGAGTATGCCCTAGATGGCTGACAAGTAGTGTCACCATGACCACTCCATCCAAAGGCAATTTTTTTATTATTATTATCTTTTTTAATAAACTACATCCAATCTATAAGTTAGATCTTAGAATCGATCGAAGTCCACTGAAATAGACACAACTGTCTTTTTTTCTTTTGTTTTTTTAACAAAGAGAACGACTTCATTACCACATTATCCACATAATAAGCATTCGGAGGCCCGGAAGAGACGCAACTTTCTTATTAATAAGCTGTGTGTCGATTTCATAGGACTTGGCTATGTTCTAAGATCAGATGTGTGTGATATCTCGCCTCCCACCTTGGGCCCAATCCCTCACGTGACCCCACCCTTCCATCTCGAGACATTCCCTGCCGCATCCCCACTCCCCGACATACTGCCTCACTTTTGGGCACCAACACTCTCTGATGGAGTAACCTGACCAGACAGCGTCGTGTGCACCAATGCTGAATGCGAGCCCACTTTCAGCCCTGGTTGACGCGTTGTTGCAGGGGCCCTATCGTACGGGTACCTCAGGTGTTGTTAGGCGTGAATCCACCACTACTACAGTAGCCCTGTGAGTAGACCCACGAGTGTGCGCCTTGCCCCAGGTGTCCATGCCACGAGTGTGCCCCTCGCCCCAGGTGTCCATGCCTAGAGTTCCCTGCTTTGAGCTACCCCACACAGTGTCTAACGGCCATCTGGCCAAGGTCTAACCTATGACAGCCCTGCTCTAAGCATTCCCCCGACCTTGGACGGTTGTGGTCTGTATGCTTCTGTATCAGTCTGTGTAGGTCTGCTTGACTTTGTATGACCTGTTGCTTCTGTATCGGTCAGTATACATCTGCATGATTCTGTATAGCCTGTGTAAGTCTGTAGCCTGCTATATATATGATCGATCTGTACTAAGCCCTTCTACATCCCATACCATACCATTGAAGCTCCACCAAAGAAAGTTGGTGCGGGGGAAAACGTCTGTTGTACCATATCTTCTGTTCTATTGGATCTTGTTGTCTAATCGGCTGCCTAACCCAGTAGTACTACCCTGCCACTGGCATGGCCGGGCCCGCACCTGCTGGCTCATACAGGTGCAGACCCGCAAACCCCACCTGCCCCCTCGTGATTCAGGGTAGACCACATCCCTACTGTGCACTCACTCCCTACTAAGGACATCACCACCCTCCATGATGGTGCCCTTCCAGAGTGGTGCTCCCTCCTCCATCATCCCAATTACTGCCTAACCCGGTAGAACTACCCTGCCACCTGCACGGCAGGGGCCCACACCGGCCGGCCAAGATACAGGTGCAGCCCCTGCTACCCTCACCCATCTCCTCGCGATTCAGGGTAGACCGCTCCCTACTCTGCACTCGCTCCCTCCAACGACATCACCGCCCTCCATGATGATGCCTCTGCAGAACCAGGCTATCACACCCACCCTTTGAGACGTCCAGGCCCCCCACAGGTACCCCGCTCCTCCCTGTGAAAAACCTCTACGTACCCCGTGTGTTTTACAGCGACTCATTTGTGCTGTGCTAGGCTGTGCGACGTGCGCCATCCAGCAACTCGACGTGCGCCCTCCATGATGATGCCTCTCCCGAACGATGCTCGCACACCCACCCGATTGAGACACCCGGCCCCCCTACAGGCACCCCATGAGATAGCACTCTTTTCCCCCTAAAAATCCTCTTTGTATCCCTTGTGTGTTACAGCGCCTCATTTGTGCTTGCTAGGCTGGGGGACACATGCTTGGGGTGTCAGCCTAACACGTGCTTGGGGTGTCACCTAACACGAACTAGAAGTGCACTGGAAAGGCTGACGGTTGACGGAGTAGAACCCACCACGTCTCTTTTGCAACTAGTTTTTTTTAGTTGTAGCTGAAGTTGAGAGGTGAATGTCATTACACATGACTGACCTTAGGTCTGGACCCCACAGGCGTGCGGAAAAGTGTATGGATTGGCGCATAGGGTTTTTTTCAGACCCCACAGGCTGCAGGGAGCGGCCAGGAAAACTTTGGGTGGACGTTTTCACAGCGTACCCTCTTGATTCAGCTGTCCAGTGCGGAAAGGAGGCACAGGGATTGCACGGTGTGCTGAAAAAGAGGAGGCACACTTTCCTGAAAGGGCAAGTCTTCCTGATCTGGTAACCTAAACCCGCGGACGTGCCGAAATCTGCTGCGGCAGTGGAGTCCCTTTTCTCTTGCCCATTCCCGACGGCTACAATTTGTGCTGGCGGATGCTTTTCAGGCACAAACATACCGCGAGCCTGTAGGGTCCAGCCCTTATGCGCATCACATAGCAGCAGACATTTCAGCATACTACATTGCTGTACACACAAAGCAACTACGCTTGCGAAAAAGGAGCAAACCTCAGAACATCATTACTCGAATGAGTCGAACCTGATCTGAAACAAACCCAGGTTTGAATCCTACCCAAGGCGGATCCAACACTATTATCCAATCAAAGGCCTGGTTCCACTGGTCAACATTCTGCATGCATTTGTACGCCTTTCTGGACCAGGTGCAATTCGTGGATGGATGGGATGGGTGGAGGAGCTGCACAGCCATACAGCATACGCATGAGAAACGGATATGTGTTATGTAAACAACACCAATTCAATCATTCCATTTCACATGAAAGATTGATGAGAGCATAAGTCCAAAGACATAACACAAAATCCCACCATGATAATTGCTCAATCATTAAAAAAAAAAGAAGGGCGGATCCACTGATTATTGGGTTCTAACTTTTAATCGAAGGCCCTCGCTCCTCTACTCAGCATTCTACATGTACTTGTACACACCTTTCCGGACCAGGTGCATTCAGAGGAGTCCAGCATTTTGAATGTCACCATTTTGAACGCCAGATACATGTAGACACTGTAGAGTGGCATGTAGTCGAGTGAGGCCCAAACTCTAAACTCCACAATCACATCCCCGATTAGGTAACTCATCCCCACCAAACAAACTCAGTCCTGCAGCCATTTCTGGATGCATGTCAGCTACTCCCCCTGCAGCCTCTTCCAGAAAAGAAACTCGGAAAAAAAAAAAAAAAAAAAAAAAAAAATCGAAAAAAAAAAAAAAAAAGAAAAGAAACTCGTCGCCTACGAGATGCCATCCAAAAACGATGGCGCAGGCGCACGGTCGAAAAAAAAAAATTGGTGACCTGCGTCGCTTTTCGGATTCTGACAGGTGCCCGCGGCCCATAGCTGGATGTACTTGTGCTTTAAACCACCATTCCCTTTCTGAGCTGTAGATGCCGAGGCTAAAATTGCCCTGCGCGCCAAAAAATAAACGAGCCGGCGCCGGGCTCATTTTGGCTGGCGCCACCAGCCGTTTCGGTCCGGTAGTACCGAACCCCGCCGGCCTCCCACATTACCCAGCGCGACTCTGAAAAAATAGCTGGGAAAGGTACTGAAGTGTGGTAGTTTTGGAAGAATCCCAAATTGTGAAATCGATGATGTGAAACTGCAAAGGGACAGTTCATAACAGAGAGCATAAGGGGCCTCGCTCCACTACTCTCGACATGCACATAATACGAAAATCATGGCGGTGTATATTTCCATGTTCTAGCGGAGGATTCACTCTCATTTTGCACTTTTTGAGAGTAGTGGAGTCAGGCCCAAGATCTGAAATTTGCACTGTTGCTCTTCGCATTCCCCTGTTGAAAAATCCAACGACTGTTTAAACCACCAGTACTTGGGCGACGCCTTAGCGTTAACGCTACGCGATTTCCGCGGCCGGTGGGCCGTCGATAAATCGAATCGACAGCCTGCGCTGCTTCGAGATTTGGGCGGCCGGCGCGGCGCGCAGTGCCCAAGTACTGGTGGTTTAAGGTTGTGAGGGACACCAAGCCAGTTCCTGTCTTATATAATATAATACTAATAACTGTTTGTTAAAAAACGATTTCAACACCCAAAGGAAAAAAAAGAAAATTCACGACTCAAACAACTTGAAACAAGTGTCTCTTTTTTTTTTTTTTTTTTTTTTTTTAAATAATCTGTTGAAACTTGAAAGTTATTTCCCCATTAAGAAGTATCCACGTGTGTTCCAAGGTACATACAGCGTGTGTTCCAAGGTACATACCGCGTGTGTTCCAAGGTACATAGTACATACCAGTCTGAACTCGGTGAGGGCTTTCGTGACGGTCTGCGCGTTCTTTTCAGCATCCAGTCTCGTCCGCTGCTCATCTGCAAACCTGTTTTCTATCTCCTGTTTCATTTTCACAAACATGGAAAATTGGAAATCGTAAAGAGAAACTCAGAAAAGGCATTATTAATTTGCAGAAGGAAAAACAAAAGGACTCCAATAATCATAAACAGGAAGCAGCCGACGGGCCTAGCTCAGTAGGTACACCCCTGAAGTGTTAAACCACCAGTACTTGGCCCAGCCATTGGCCACCAGAAAAAAATAGAGTGGAAACATTTCTAGTCGGATGAATTTGGGCGCTTCTGTAGTGGTCCGTACGTTTCCTAAAATCATGGCTTGTTAAAGGGCACTACTTTAGGAAGTACTGGTGGTTTAAAATACAGACTCGAGTTCGAACCCAGATACCTTCAGAAGTTCAGATGAAGAGAATAAATTTCAATAAAATCATTCTGAATTGCCTGGGGCTGGTCAGTTCAATGGTGATATATCTAAAGGCCGTTGTCCTTTTAAAAGAGGAAAGAAAGGGCGGGGGGGGGGRGGGGGGAGGGGAAGGGGAATTGAAAAAAAAACAGGAAGCAGAAAAGGAAAAAGGACACATAATATCAACATCCATTGACCGGACCTGCTGGTGGGGAATGCTCATATCACCAGCCTTGGACCTCCTCCGTGCAATCACGGATTCGAGCCGAGTTTCTCAGCCATTACAATCATGGCACGGTTTTCGATATCGACGATGATATCCACTCCACCCCTGCATGGCTGTAGTGTCCTGTCCTTACCCCCCACACGCACACACACACACACACAACAACACCCAGGCACCTGTGGCATCAAGCACCTGACTCAAACCACGAGGGCACACAGCCCCCTCCACAATATCCACAGCTTCCACAAGAGGGGCCCGACCCCCAACGGCCACCACATTCCTGATATAATTTCCACGCTGGTTACCTGGCTTGAGTATAGTCAGTACGATTACCAGCCTTGTGACCTCCTCTGCGCACGCAGGGATTCGAACTGGCGTCCCCGGCCTTAAGAGCGGAGTCTCTTAACCACCACAACCATGGCACGGTGTTCAAAAGTGGGACCACATCGGCCTTGATATCCACCCACCCCTGCAGGGCTGTAGTGTCCTTACCTTACTCCACACACACACACAACACCACCCAGGCACGTGTCGCACACTAGTTCCATCAAGCACCTGACTCGAACCACGAGGGCAGACAGCCCCCTCCACAATATCCACAGCTTCCGCAAGAGGGGCCCGACCCCCAACGCCCACCACATTGCTGGTATAATTTCCAGGCTGGTTACTGGGCTTGTGTACAGTCAGTACTATTACCAGCCTTGGACCTCCTCCGTGCACGCATGGACTCGAACCGGCATCCTCAGCCTTAAGAGCCGAGTTTCTTTTCTTTTCCTTTTTTTCTAAAAAAGAATCATCGGCCGCAGGGCGTGGGGGCGGTGCCGGTGGGAGCAGACACACCCTCCACTGGTCCCTAGCTTTTTGATGGCTCCGTTCCATTGGTGGAGAGCTGCACCTGCTGGAAACCGGGTCCAGCGTCCCTTAACACCAGTCCATCAAGCCAAAGTTACAAGAGCTGCGTTTTTTTTTTTTTTTTTAAGAAACATCGCGGTCGGATGTGGGGGAGGTGCTGGTAAGAGCAGACACCCCCTCTACGGCCGCTGTTTGCAGATGGTCTTAACCAGTGTTCAAAAGTGGAATCATAACAAGTCGGACAAGGGTACCTGGTTTTCAAAACAAAACACATGTTACGATCCTGGCTATTTCCGAAGTGCAAATTCACAAGGAAAGACAATGCCACCCAATTGCGAAAGAAATGAAAGCACTTGCAAAGAGATGGAGACCAAAGAAGAAGAAGAAGAAGAAGAAGAAAACGAAGAAGACGATGTCAACCAGCAAGACCAGTGGCTATTCCCCCTTCTCTTTCCACCTTTCTCCTCCTCCTTGTCTCCGCCAATCTTATTCTTCTCCCAAATAATAATAATAACAATGAGTTCCTTCTTACTGCCAACACAACAACAGGTCCACCATAGCCATGGATTCCCCCTTCTTCCTGCTCTCACATGCCAGGGCTATGGCGGACTACTAAGGGCTCTGCCCTCCTGTGCAAAGGACAACACAAAGCAGCTATGGTCGCTGCTCATCAGGCCCCATGCCTGACTCTGCCTCGAGCTTCCTTGGTGCGGCAATACCCCAATTGGGGCCTTCCAGATGCAGCACCTAACAAGGTGATGAAGATGGTGTCCACCATGGCCAGGTAGGTACCTCGTCACTCTCCTCCTTTGCCCCCTTCTTCCTTCTCCTCAGGCTGGGCTGCTCGCCATAGCCAGGCTGAGCCCCCAGCTGCTCTTCTTCCTCCTAGGCAGCGCTCTGAGTCCAAGCTGCCCGCTCAAGCAGTATGTCGCCCAACCTTGCACACCGCAAATGAGGAGGAGCTACTCGCTCCTCCTGGAGATATAGCAGCCTACTTGCCTCTTGGGCAGTGACTTCCAGGCTGCGTGGCCTCCAAGCAACCGGTACGTCCTCCCTTTCGGAGGGAAACATCATTGCAGGCTCTGATATCATCCGTATAGGCCCTAGACTCAGGCTACTTGGACTGGTACCGGCCTACCTCTAGCGTACCGCTACTGGTCCTCTAAAAATGCCAACTTTTTGTCTTCTTCTGCTCGGCCTCGAGTACCCGACACTTCTACCACTACTTGAGTGGTACCGGCCTACCTGCTATTTGACTGTTTTTCCAGCTGCAACACTCAAAGTCGCGGCCACAGGTAAGTACCGGCCCTGCGGGGCCTCCAAACGAACAAGTACCCTCGCGGGTCACACATACACTCCGGCCGACAAGTACTCAGACAGGCACACAGACCAGCAGGCATGCACACACACAGACTTAGAAAACGCAGCAGAATGCTGGAATCTCAGCAAGGCATACATTCCAGCGGCAAATCCCAGAAATCAGCAGTGTTCTCAGTCTGTGTTTTGGCGGGTCATTACACCAAAAAAAAAATCCTTTTTTTGTGTGTGTGTGTGTGTGTTTTGTAACTGGGCCCAGTGCCCAGGGCTACATTACCATGCTTGCATCAGGGCACCAACTGCATGGACTGGGCGAGGCACTCCAGCCAAGCCCAATCCTGGTCGGTGAAGGTACCAGCAAAAGTTTATGCACACCATCGTTCTCAGCAAAAACAAATATATGTCGACAACTCAGAGAGGAGAGAAATACCAAACGGGAGGGAACTTCTAGACACAGCGCCTCCATCAGCAAAGCTATTTACAGTATCGTAGAGCGCTACCAACACGAGTAACAATGAAGAAGCGATCCCACCCAAGAGGCGACACTTCTTGCAGTACAATTTAACTCCAAAAGAAATCCCTCCTGAGAGGCAACATCACTACACCACGACCCTACCAACAAAGCTATTTATCCTCTTTTTTTCTTTTTCTTTTTTTTAATACCATATTTTCCCAAACAAAGTTGTGCCGCTGCGTGGGAGCCTTTGCTTCTTCCTTTCTGATATTTACTAAATTTTTGTACATTTTGGATATAGCAAATGTGTTTTGGTTGATTTCATGAATACGAGACCCACAGCTTGACACCTAAGATTCCTCCATACGGAGTAGATGCTTATCTTATTACCTGCTAAGGCGGGCCCTTCTGATGTATGATGGGATGCTGGACTGCAATCAGACTCGACTCTGGACTTGCTTGCAACATGCACACATGAGAACCGATGGCAAAATCTTCCAACTCAGAAACAACAATGAACTTGTATCACACTCAGTCTGAATCAACACTGTTTCTACCACCAGCCTCAGTTCCCCACACTCTCGCATGCACGCACGTACGAGGATCACCCTGAATGTCCACGCTGCACAAACACACACACTCTGTACACTCTGTCTACACCAACAGCTGGGCGGCTATGGCCGCCGTCGTCTTCCTCCTCCTAGCTATGGCCGCCGGTGTGTTCCTCACTGGCCAGCTATGGCCGCTGTCTTCCTCACAGCCCACTTTGTCTACGGGCTCCTGCAGTCCTCCACGCACAAGATACCAAGGCAGCACTTCCACATGGCTCACAGGCGAATGAATGAATGGCTAGACGTTGCCTGTTTGTTTATACTTCTTCGGAGGTGGCTGGGCCCTGCCCCAAAACGCGTGGGCCTGGGCCAAAACGTTTGAGCCTGGGTCCCTCCAGAACATGTGGACCTGGGCCTGGAAGCTTCCATACGCGTAGGCCTTCTGGGCAAAACGCGTGGAACTCCCCACGTGCTCCAGAACCTTCCCCACGTGCAGCCCTTACCCCTGGTACCTGCTGACTGGACTGCCTACAGGGACCTACGACCTTCTGGAACCTATAGACTTCCAGACAGACTCTAGGCTCACAGTAGACTCAGGTAGAGACTTCTAGAACAGACACTTTTTGGCCTACTGGTAACAAACTCAACTCCTATCCTACAGACCTAGGGATCAGGGTACAGGGTAGGTCTAGGGATCGAATCTCACTCAGCACACAGGTTCAATGTACAGGGTTAGGGTACAGGTCTAGGGATCGAATCTCTGTGTCTGCAAATATCGGGTTAACTGGGTGAAACCGTTTCATGGACTCGTTTTCCAGCATTAATTACCTGCTCAGTCAATCCCCTGCAAGGGTAATCAATGCTGGCAGGCCTTTCTGATGTATGATGGGAAGCTGGGCCCGTGTTTTCCAGCAGGTGCTGCTCCCCACTAACAGATCGGAGCAACCAGGAAGCTATTTATCCTCTTCTCATCTATCTTCCTTTTTTTTTTCTTTTTTTTCTTTTGAAAAGTCCAGGTTGTTGTAGAGGCCAGATTCCAGGCATACGATGGTCGCAGTCATCAGTCTTCCTGATGCTCTACGAACTTTGTCTGTCTATGCTTGCCGGTGATAAGCAACCAGACTGATGCCCCCCAGGCCATAGGCGTGGCAATCTGGGACTCTGATCCGTTGGGGCCTGGGCCTGCACCTTGTTTTACCCGGGTTGGCCCTCCCTACGATGCGGACAACTTTGCAGAATACCCAGGCCATAGGCGAGGCAATCTGGGACTCTGAATTTAAACATTTGAAACGGTCGCTCGAGTGGACGAGGCAGAAGGGCGATGCTGCAACATCCACAGATGTGCGCGGTTGTCATTGCTTGCACTTTGTGTCCTCCATGAGAGTAAAGCCTCACACCTGTGCATCTACATCTACATGAAGTGTGGCTTCTTCTTTCTTGAATTCTCTTTTCGTATGCCTTGATGAGCACCCTCAACCAGTGCTAAACAGTCGGTGGTTGGTAGTCTGGAGTGCCTACAGCACTCTTAGGGGGGAGCTCCGTCTGTGATGTCTGTGGGGCATGAGGTCTGTGGGTGGATGATTGACGTCCGTCAGAGTACCTTCCTGGCTCAGCTGGTGGTGGGAACCAACAGTCTGCAAAGTTCACCCGTGATGTGAGTAGGTGATGTGCCGCTTCACTCCGTCTTGGATGTGCAGACTGCCTTGTCTGCGCTCCGCCACTGCCTTGCTGCCCGTCCTGCTGGGACCGCATGTCGTTCTCTGCAAGTTGCTGTGTTCACTATGTGGTGTGGCTGCCATGTTGGTCTTGCCGTGTGCTTCGCTGCACTTTTGCCTTGCTGCCCATCTGTGTGCCGTTCCTTCCGTGTTTCTTGCTTGTGTACCGTGTGGTGTGGCTACTGTGTTGGTGTTGCCTTGTGCTTCACTGTGCAGTTGCTGTGCTGCTTGTCCGCTTGCCATGTCGTTCCTTGCAGTCGTTTTTTGGCGTTGTGCAGTTGAGTTGCTCCCAGCAGCGTTGCCTGGTGCTTCGCTGAGTTGCTGCCCGCTGCTATGTTTCGCTTGGGGACAGTCTGCTTTCAACATGGGTCAAAGGGTTCATGACCCAAACCATCAATACGGGCATTCCACAGATTGTTGAGGGTTCAGCCTCCTGATGAGTCGGTGCAACTCCAGCAAAACAATCTATCATCAGTTTTATTTATTTTTTTCGGTCCTTGGAACATTTTCAGGATGTGTTTTTTTATCTTCTGGTTGTCTGTTTGGTGTGCTTTTGCGTCGTCTGCTTGGTCTGCTTGCTGTTCGTCTGCTTGCTGTCCTTGTGTATCATCTGCTTGCTGTCCTTGTGTATCGTCCGCTTGGTGTGCTCGCGTGTCATCTGCTTGATCTGGTTGTGTTTATGTGCCGTTTGGTTGTTTTTTTTGGTACACTTGTGTGTCGTCCGCTTCGTATACTTGTGTGTCCTCTGCCCTCCTGCCTCCCCCCTGCCTTTCAGCCTTTGTCCTTTTATGCTTGCCATCCTACGCCTCGCCACCTGATGCTTGTGTGTTGTCTTGTGTTGTTTATCTGCCCACCCGCCTCCCCCGTGCCCTCCAGCCTATGTGCTTTTGCTGCTTCTTACTGTCCTATGTCTTATGTGTGTTGTCTTGTGTCATTTGTCTCCCACCCACCTGCCCCATACCCTCCAGCCTATGTGCTTTTGTTGCTGCTTACGTCCTATGCTCTATTTGGTAAAGTATGCTGTCATGTGCGCTTGTATATTGTCTACCCTTCCGCTTGCCAGCCTTTGTCTAAAGTCTTAGAATGCTATGCTCCTACGTAGTCAATAGGATAATAGAACCTAGTTCCTCCCAATGACTAGACAAACATAAGACCGAATGCAGGCGAGGTTCTGGGCCACGTACGGTCGTGTCACAGGCCACTATGAGGTTCCTTAGTATTAAGTATTCATGCTATGCGTGAGGTAAACACACACATGCGGACCTCATACGGACCAAATACCCCTCTTGGTGAATCTCCCATTTTGCACGTGGTGCACTTACATGGGATTCCGATCCCCACAGCAAGGGTTTGAAGTCTTTTGATGTATTTAGCGGTATCTGCAAAGACAGTCAAATTCTTACGCGCTTTTGCGCCTTCGTGGGATTCAGACGCGAAGCGTCTGCTCTTCGAGCTGTAAGGTTGCCACCTCATACTTCAAAAGATGTTGTGGCCAAGGAAAGGTACTCCTTTCGACACATGGGTAATATGGGTTTTGTCCATACTCAGTGTTAATTGGAGTTTGTCTCTAAGGAACGATTCCAATTCAGATTTCAGTTTCACTGCTTCTGATCGTGGACCAAACAAATCTGACCCTAGAACATGCAAAGATACACCGCCATTCTTTTAGGCTTTCGTACACAAAACAAATGGAGTATCTTTCCATGTTCTAGCACGAGATTCGTTCTCATTTTCCATGTGGTGCACTTAGATGGGATTCTGATCCCAACAGCAAGAGAATGAGTTTGCCGCTAGAACATGGGAAGATACACCGACTTTCTTTTGGGTTTTCTTACACAAAACATGTGGCGGTGTATCTTCCCATGTTATAGTGGGACATTCGTTCTCATTTTGCATGCTCTCTCTCTCTCTCTCTCTCTCTCTCTCTCTCTCTCTCTCTCACACACACACACACACACACACACACACACACACACACACACACACAC